CGAAAATTGCAGCAGCAAACTGAACAGCAAGGTTGTTCGGACTGCCAACAGATGACTATCTCGGTGGTCTTCTGATGTGTCGGCAGAAACCCTAGAGTCGCTAGGGTTGGCAGTGGAGGCAGATCTGTGTGTGTGACCTATGCTTTGATACCAGTTGTTAAGAACAAAAGCACACACACACACGAATAGAAAGCAAGAAAGAACACGAGATTTAACGTGGTTCGGTCTAATCTGACCTACATCCACAGGGGCAACTAGGGTTTGTATTATTGAGTGATGATGATTACAAGTACAGGAGATCATATATATAGACAACTAATTAGGGTTTAACCCTTGCTGACAAGTTATAGCAAAGTGGGCTTAAAACCATTTGGGCCGGCCGAAACCCTAATCTGGTCTCCTAATTCTCAGTTGTCTACAAGTGGGCCACTTTGGGCCGATGACTACACATCACCAACACATATAAGGGGCCGGTTCCCAGGACATTGGGAATCAATGTCATGGGATGACCCGGAGGTGCTCCAGTGTCCCGTTCGTAAAATTGACGGTACCTACCCCCTGGTAAACCCCCCTCCCCCCATCCCCTTCAAAGTCAAAATTAACTTGGGGGTGCAATTGAAGGGGGTGGGGTGTGTGTGTTCGGGTCGGGGGGATCGAGAGGGTTTATCGGGGGGTTAGGGGGCAGGAACCATCAATTTTATGAGCGGGGAACCCGAATACCTTCGGGTCATCCCCTTCCCAATGTCAAGGGAACCATCCAAGGTAGGGGGTTAGAGAGTGTGATTTAATATTTCCATCACCACCTTAATCTCAACTTTGTTTTTCTGTGGCTCTTATTGTGTCTTGGAGGAAGAGGAGGAGGAGGTTGGGTGGCATTTGGTTGCCCAGACTAAAACACCAGCCCCCTCGCCTTGTAGAACGAACCACATTCACTCCCACCCCTTTGATTTTTCACATTTTGGAGGCAGTTTAAAATAGTTTTTAGACAGATTAATAAACTAAATCCATGAACCACAGCGGTGAGATACCCATAAAACTCATTCCATGAAAGGTTCCACAGTTTGCATAGTCACATACCCTCATTATGATTAATATTTCTGCACAGGCGGTCCTTGTTGCTAGCAGGAAATCATTGACACGTAAGGATGTGCTAGATATAACACATGAAATGCTTGAAAGGCTAGAGGCTCATTTGTGTGCTTTGGGTCAATTCACAGTGTGTAAAATCTCCTCCCAACATTTCACTTGTTTCAAAAACAATTGGTTCGTGATAAATTTCATGGCAGGTAACTGCCAACATGAGGGGAAACTCTGCAGAGGAAGTAGCAGAGCGTGTATTGAGCCGAAATTCCTTATCAGGGTTGCAGGTACAGACTAAGAGTTTTACTGAAGAGTTTAATAGAGCAGAAAATTATCTTACTACCCTTTGACAGAGGGATAGTAATCACACTCCATAAACTATTCGCTACTCAATTCCTGACTAACGTAGGCATGCCCTGTTCATATAAATCAATGTAGGGGCCCGCAGTAAGTCCAGTATTTTGCAAACGAAATGGCCAAGTAACTGCAGATTACTATGCAATAGTCATATGTGTACCGAAGAAGGTATTTATGAGTCTGTGCAGCAGCTGCGGGAGGTGAGATTCATGTACCATATATCATTATATTCTTGTAAAAGATATAAACCACATTGTACTTTCAGTTTAGCCCTCTTAATTTAGTCTGTCCAATTATCTGTTGTTTAAAATAAACATGTGCATGCCATCATTGACATAAGATCTACCATTGGTCTTCATAAAAACCATGAATTTTGTCTATTATGACCGTGGGAAGGCTACTCGGCTCATAATATTTTGGAACAGAGTAATTCATCTTTTGGATCTGACTTGCATGGTGATTGGCACATCAGAAATGAGGCCACTGGCAAGTTTTTTTTAACAAAGCCAATTTTAGATCACACGTCATGCATGTGTTAATTTTAAACAGAAACTTGAACAAAATAGTTAAGGACATAATTGAATTTAAAAGTAAAGGTTAGAGTCTTAGGGACCTCACTGTATAGATTTGATGGATGTGGCCCAAATTGGGAAGGGGGTAAAGGATAGGGATAAGAAAAACATAATTAACCCCTTTAATTACTACAGGTACTTGGTTGGGCTCAAGCATTGCCTAAATTTGCTGTTGGTCTTGTGAGCTATGTGCAAAGTTTTCTTGAGAGGGCATATGAAAGATGCCGAACTTCATACATGGAGGCAACTATATTCCTTTTATTCTTCCCTATGACCCTATCTAAAATTTTTCAAGGATTTATAATTCCAAATATTCTTTATTCTGTTATTGATAATATCTTCTT